TCTGGAAACCAGTCCCCCTTGACAAAGTATAGGAGAACACAGGCAATTAGGAACTAAGTGGAAACGTAAAACTTTAACTTCTGCTATTCAGGGCAGGTTTTCATAAGAAAACCACCTTGGATCCTTTAGTTTATTTGACCTGCAGGGACATGATCTCACTGTGTTAGTAACTTCTTTTTTTTTTACTAGCTCAGCCCCTCTAAAGTGAATTAAATTATGGATTGATTGCTGTTGGAATATTTGGGGATGCCCATGGCTGAGAGTAAGTAGGTATAGACTATAGACTTGTTTAATTTAAATCTAAACCTATGGGGGGCCTCCCTGGTGGCTCAAGGGGTTAAGCACTGCACTATGAAGCTATCGCAGCCTCTGTAGCACGAGTTTGATGCCCAGCTGGCCAGGGAGATACCCACATGGTGCAGTAGACCTCTCCTGACTCGTGCTGCTCCCCTCAGCAGTGTTTTCAGTCGATTTGCCTGTTCTGCTTCCCACTCTGTCTCTGGTGGATCCTCTCACCCTCCATACCTCTGACCTATACTCCAGTTCTTGTATGCATAAATAAATAAATCTTTAAAAAAGTAAATAAATCTAAACCTATGGGCTCTAAGGGAAACCAAGCAGCTTGAAGTGTATCTTATCCAACCGTAGTCAGCTTCTAAGACTCCATAGCTGTTGTTCAAAAAATAAATTCTCCTTGGCTTCTCCCATGGTACCACTGCCTCTTGGGAGAATTATAGGGAAACTGTAATGTTAGTGTCACCTAGAGCACCCTCTTGCTCCTGTTGTATGTTCACATTCAATGAAAGGCACATTTATTGCAAAGAAGTCTGTCTAAAATTCCAGCAGTTGTCACTGATTGTTACTCTTATAAAAGCTTATGTTTTATAAAATTCATTAATGTAAACTCTCCTAATTAAAAATTCGGATAGAAACTAAGAAAGAATATCCTAAGGAGAACATTTGCTGGAAAATTTATGGACTAAATATAACCATAAAAGGAACATTAAAAGGATCTAAGAAAATGTCTTTTCTGAGAATTCCAACTTTTACTGAAATAGATATGCTGATTCGAATACATTTCTCTATTGATTGAGTGACAATCTTGAGGAATTCCATTATGCACATTTTGTTGGCTGAATCTGAGTCATGCAAATATTAAAAGTATACTCCCTTTAAAAAAAAATACCCTATAATTAGAATGACCGCTAATTCAAACTGATCTTTCTTATGACTGGTCTGAATTAGTGAGACCTTTATAGTATTACTAGTCACTATCAATTTAATACAAAATGATGTAAAGTTATATAGCCCTTTAGTAATACCATAGTTGGGAATATCAAACCGAAAGGAAAGAACATTTTGCTTAGGAAGTTCACATACTTCCCTTATGGTATATGATAGGAACTTTGCTTTTCCTTTTCCTTTTTTTTTTTTTTTTTAAATCAATGACTAGTCACCTTGCCTTTTTTTCAAGAACGGAAATGAAACATAGTCAACATATAACTTAAACCCAACTCTGAAACCGAATACATAGAGACCTATTGTTAAATGTAGAGCAGACTAAACACGTTGAAGAGAAGAATCAAGGTTGAGTCTTGAGCTTGGCGCTTTTCATTTAGACTTTGGAATATCATACCTGCTGGGGCTGAAGAACTTGCTACCAGGCAGACCATGGACTGACTGGGAGATGCTGAGAGATGCTGTTTTTCTTCTAGTAGTTTAGCCATTTACCTGATATCTTGCCCAGGTGTAACATAGCCAGAGTCCCCTCTTGGTGACTGATGGGTGAATTTCTAAATCATGATGTCATTTTTGTGGCTCTCTTCCTGGAAGATATACAAGTAGTGTCTCTGCCCAGCAAGAGTCCTTTACCAAGCTGTTTAGGGAGGCAGTGATTCCTGACTTTTTCAAGAAGTAGACTCACCATTCCAGGAAGGGAACCAGAGACTGAAATATGACAAAACTACAGTATGACAATATTGCAAAAGCTGTTTTGGTCCCTTTTGGTGTCAATCTTTCCTGTCCAATAGATAAAGAAACTCCCAGAACATGTGCAGTGAGTGAGAGAATCCTGTGACCTTTCTTACTTACTCTGGTGTCTGGGCGTCTAAGAACCTCCATGCTATTTGCAGACTCCACAGGAAGGTGATATGCCAATGTTTACACAGCACCAACTTAGGTTTACAAATAACAAAATACTTTCAACTCAGGTGAAGTATAAACTCAAAGGTACTCTAGTTTAATTTGAGATTTGGGGTTATCTCCTTCTCTCATGGAGATGGTCCTCAGTGCCGTGGAACTAGACAGAAAGGAGAGCAGAAGTTTTCATGATAGCTTTGACTTCTTTTGGAACTCTTACTATTGGGCACACCTTAGATATTATCACCAATAGGTAATATTGTGGCACTGACTACTGTTCCTCAGGATGTAGAAATTCCTGCTGCTTATGGATGCTTTTGGTTCTAAATAAGGTGTGGTTTATAAGAATTTTAATTTATGGTCATGCCTATTACCCACTAACTTCAGGTCTAACTTTAGCAGTAATAGTTATTTGACAAGATATTCATGTGGTTTAGAAACTCTGCCATCTCTGTTTAAGCTGCTGATAGTTTCGGCTCTCCCCCTTTTGAAGATTTGCACATTTCCTGGCTTACTTGGAACTGGTACCATGTGGGATCAAAGACAACTTGAGACCCTGTATTAATTCTAATAAATGTTAAAATGAAAGTTAAGCTCCATTTTCTGGTTCCCGTTGAAACTGGAAAGAATAGCTCATTCACAAAAGGAAAATAAATTAAAAATTAGGAACAGTGTGTCTTATCTGTTCCAAATGTGGATACAATCATTTGATTTGTTTTTTCCTCACTGTATCTTACAGCAAAGAAAATGGCATTTGGGGCCTTCTTTGCATCTTCTGCTCTGGGGAGGGGAGGGAACCATCTGTCTTTACTGCCTGTGGCTCTCCCTGTTCATCCCTTTTGTTGCCCTATTGCTGTGGAGAAGCCTGATGGACAGCATCATTGCAACCTCTGTGCCAAGCTTCTGCAGCCTCTTGTGCAGACATGTGTGGGTATGTGCTGGTATCTGGGAATAATTTTGCATCAGAGGAGACAGAAAATACCTCTCCACTATGCTTGGAGCTTTATGGACCATCTCATGAGCTCATTTCAGAGTTCAGGAGTCTGATAGAGCCTGTTGGGATTACTGTTTTCTCTACCTGGTATCATGATCCTCAACTTGTAAATCTCCAACAAAGCAGCATAAAGAAATACAAGAAAAATTAAAACCCGGTGAACCAAATTCCTATTGAAGACAGGTGGCTAGTTTGATTAGGCGATGTTTCCTTAGGTTTTTAGTTATACAAATGTCCCTGCAAGATAGAAGAGAGTTAGTAAGACTGTTATGCAGTTCTATTAGATGGGAGATAAAATGATTCCAAGATATTTCCAAAAAGCAAGGATTGTTAGTATTATCAATTACCAATACAATGCATAATTGAATTGTGCATAATATGTGACTCAATTTCTAAATGGGACCTGGAATGAGTTTCACATTCCTCATTAGTAAAATAGGGAAAATAATTTTTATCTAATGTGGCTGATGTGAAAATAATGAGCTGTTTTATACAAAGCACTTGGCATTATGCCTGGCATGGTATAAGCACCCAATAAATGGTAGAATATGTACACACACACACACACCCCACTTTATTTCCATTCTCAGACCTTGTCTATTTATATCTTCTATTCAGAAAACTCTTCTGTTGGTATATTGACCTCTCACCTCTGGCTTAATTTCCAGTTCTAACCAACTGCTACTAATGTTCCCATTTAGCTATCCCATAAATGGTCATATATTTGTTAGACTTACTAATAGTGCCTTTTGCAGCTAGCCCATTGTTATGATCATTCTAGGTTTCAAAGACTCATGTAACTTCAGAATTCTATTTGACAGATGAAGTCTATGAGATCCCAAGAATGGAGGTAATTTCCCTCACATCATACCATTTTAAAATCTATATTCTGGGTAGTCAACATTGTCCTTCATACATACAGCAGTGTCCTTTGTACATGGGAGGAAAGTCAGGGCAAAGCATGGGATTTCAATTGAATTGTCTGAAAGTAAGAGAGGATATAATGGTGGTAAGATGGTCACAGTTTATGTGTCCTTGTATAGGGCTCTTATTTTTCCACTTCTAAAATAATGTGCACCCTACTTACGTTATAGGATCTTATGAGATCTAGAGATCTAGAGATTCTAGAGAATGTGTGTCAAAATACTTTGTAAACTGAAAATGCTGCATTGATATAACCACAGTGGCTTCATTTTCTCCAGTTCTCCAAATAATAAGCACTCTAAACTCAAGAATATGAAAGAAATCCTATTCCTTTTGAAGGGTATTCTCAGAACATTTTTTGGCTATGGCAGAGGAAAATAAAATTAATACTTATATTTTTAAAGGGTGGAAGCTGAATGTGTTTGATTTGGAACCTCTCCTCATTCTTCTATGACTCTCAAAATGAGAGATAGTATTGCTAAGTTTTCCTTCTCTATTAATAAAAAGGAATGAACATGCTTGGTTCTTTTGTTTGATAGAAAATTTATGATTTTTTTTCCCTCCAGCTCTCTGAAATCAGGTTTACTATTGACTCAGTGGAGTTCTGGGCCTGATTTTAGCAAAACCTTTCTTCCCCTAATTTTTGAAAGGGAACCCCACACAGTGATGTGTATTCCAGTGGGACGGAGCCCAGAAAGTCAATGCTTGGCTCTCCTACAGCTGCTCAGGGAAAGCCTTCACATGTTGCAGCCTTGACATGTAGGATTTCCCCTTTAAGATTTGTGATTTTATTTTCTTCCTTATTCTCATAAGGGCTGGAAGATTATAGATGGCCAGTTGGCACCTTAATTAAGGCAAGGGGAGGTTTTTGTGAGTTTAGTTCACACCTGCCACTGGCTTTTGAGGCAAAGATCCCATGTTTGATCACTTGGTCTGTTTTCAGATCAGACTCCAACCCCAACGAGGTTCCTGAAGAACTGTGAGGAAGTGGGACTCTTCAACGAGCTGGACTGTTCCCTGGAGCATGAGTTCAGGAAGGCTCAGGAGGAGGAGAGCAGCAAGAGGGTAGGTTTGCTTGGTTGTATGACTCCTGTCATATCTGCTAGAAAACTCCACGTGGAAAGGAGGTGGCTCTGCAGACTATGTTGATGTGCCCTAACCACTGCTTCACCCATTTGCAAGTGTGTGTCTGATGTTTCTGTAAAAAAAATGGATGAATCACTGATCACAATAGAATCCAAATGTGAAAGAAATCATGGGAAAAATAGGGATCTGAAATATGAAATTCAAGCAAAAGAAAAAAGAGTTGCTATTCTTGAACCTCAGATAAAGTTGCAGATTGGTTTTTATTCAAAACTAGTTGTTTTATTTTGCTAAAACTTTAATAGGAAGTCTTACTTGGGTGTGAATACAGAGGATCAGAGTCAAAGTGTTAGACAAAAGGCAAATAATCATGGTGGTGGGAGAGGGGATTGCATCTGAACTTGGCCCAGTTTATCACTGTCTTTAGGAGACTCTTCACCGTAGAGCTCAATCACATTCAGTCACTTCCTACTCATATTATGGAACATCCATGATTGAGACACATAGGTTGACTCTAAATGTGAATTACTTGCTCTTAAAAATGTAGAAAATTCACTCCGGAATATATTCAGAATATATTCCTCCAGAATATATTTAGATTTTATTGTAATGTTGTACTAGCATTTTCAAATCATTTTACAAGACTAAGGGAAAGGAAAGGGATTACAAGTAAATGTGATGATGTAGGTCTTTAATATTTTTTATTGTTATGATAGAGCATTATTGAATGACCACAATGTACTAAACAAGACTAGTCACATTCCATGAACAGAGATTAAATGTGAAAGATGGTTGAAAGAGAGGACCTGCCAGGTAGCTATGGATTCTGAAGTTCCAGCTGTTCTATCTTGTGAAAAAAATTTAAAAGGTTCTGATGTTTCTCTTAGTGTTTCAAAATCTTTGAATCCTCATCTATGTAAAATTGCAATAATCCCACTCCACCAGATTTTTCATGTCACATTTTCCACTTCAAAACAGTCAAGGACTTTGGTCTGTACTGCTTTAGGAAAAGTCATGAATATAGGAGGAGGTTACAAGAGGGGTATAAAATCTCAGTCAGCTCATTTAACTTATTTATAGTTAATTTGTCATTTATACTTGATCCTTCATTCCTCCCACCCCCCAGTGACATGAAGACCCCCTTTTCCTTTTTTTAAACAAACACTTATATAGCATACATTTGCCAGATGCTGCTCGGAGCGCTTACAAAAGTTAAGTAAAAAAAAAAAGAAGGTATATATTCCATGTTTCACTGCGATAGAAATATATTTTTTTAATATGAAAATAACATGGGAGAAGAAGACTAGTAAATTTCTTCTGATTGACTAATACATTTAACTCTCCTGGTAGACATGGCATATATAGAGATCTGAGTGATTAAGTTCTTTGGTTCCTCAGAATAGTCAAGTTTGGCTGAAATTAAACTGAACTATAAGAAAGCTGGTCCATATTGTCTTCATTTCTGATAGAATTATTGTAACCAAGTGTCAACCCTTGATTTTCTTAAAGACATTCACCAAGGGCAGTTTTAGGATGCCGTGGTCAGGGTGTGGTTTTAGATGGTCGCATTACATAGTACTCACGAGCTCCTATATGAAGCCCCTAGGGAGGAAATTCTTGCAGATCTGAATTCCAGGAAATAGTTTGCTTCCCCTGAGGAACCGAAATATTTTCTCCTCATGGCCATGAGAATCATGTAGCTGGTTCTGTTTCTCTTTTCGCTTTGACTGCTCGATTAACACAGAGCCAAGTTTACTGCTTAACTTTGAGAACTTTTTAGAAAACTGTGATGAGCATATTTTACTTTCCCTCTAGCCTAGACTTTCAGTTCTAGTTTATATTTCTTCTGGTCCTGGCTTTTAATTTAAAAAATATTTTTATGTTATTTCTTTTGTGAAAAGCTTTTGATTTCTTGGAGGCTAAAAAAGAATACAAATTATTAAACTTTACAAATGAAAATTATTAGGCAAGCAAAGTTGAGAAAGAGGACTATTGTAGTTGTAGAAATATATGTTTTTCTCTCTCTTGTCAAGTGTTGCTCTTTTTTTTTTAAGATTTTATTTTTCTATTTATTTATACAAGCACTGGGTACTGTCAGAAGCGCAGGAGGGTGAGAGAATTCACCAGAGCCAGAGCGGGAACAGAACAGACAGACCGATGAAATACACTGCTGAGGGGAGCAGCGGGCATGGCAGGAGAGGTCTGCGCGCCATGTGGGACCCTCGCCAGCAGCCGGGGATTGAACTGGTGCTGCAGAGGCTGCGGGCAGCTTCGCAGCCCAGTGCTCAACCGCTGCGCCACCAGGGAGGTCCTCAAATTTGCTCTTAGCGATGTGATGACCTGATGATGGATATATATGTTGGGGGTGGGGGTGGATTCTAAGCTATCTTCCCTGTGGTTTTGGAACAGACCAGTCAGGAGACCACCATTTCATACCCAATTTCACTTGCATGAACTGGAAGATAGACAGTATCCATTCAAACCAGAGAGGCCAAATTCAGCCTTGGTTGACCACAGCTACATGTAAGGATATCTTCTTGAGGTCTAATGCATGGTGACTCACCAAGCAGCCAGTTGGGCTGTGTTGATGACTTTGCTCTAGAATTTCTTTGGAAGCCAGTATGGAGGAGTGGGAGATTCTCTCTGCTAATATGCTTCTACCCATTCCTTTGACCACATGTGTCTAGCTACCAATATCCCTGGCACATGCCACCACAACTCCTTACTATTATTTATTGAGTGTCATCTTCCTTTTGCTCCATATTCAGATAATTATATCTTTTAAATTCTATATCTCTAGCTCTCTTCTAATTTCTTTCCCTTGGAGTCTTTTAATAAAAGACAGGCAAGTTTTAGTAAAGTAGAAAGTGGATTAATTTATCTGAAGAGTTTGGTTGCAAAGGCTCTTGCTTGAACTTTCCCAATCCTTCACACAAAAATATTGGAAAATTAGGCTGACCCTTTTCTCCAAATTTCTACTTGCAGTTTGGTCTAGAAAATTTGTTAAGGACCAAATAGAGACCTGATCCTTGCTTATTAGCCCATGTGATTGACCATTGGGGGAAATGATGTTCTATAGGCTCTTGGTAATCCTGATACCCTTTTCCAAAAGCATTCTGATGTGTGTATAGAATGAGGACACGTGAGGATCAGGTTATGACCAATGGAAAAAGTCCCAGTATTGCATTCATATCATATCGATCTATAGCAGATAGCACATCCAACAGTTACCTCAGGTTTCCACATTGGTTTAACTAGTAGGCATTATAAATCTCAGCTTTCTTTTGGCTTAGAAATCAGGTTATTCCAAACATTATTAAAATGACCATCCTACCAAAAGCAATATACAGATTCAATGCTATTCCAATCAAAATTTCAATGTCATTCTTCAAAGAAATAGAACAATTATTGATGAAATTCATATGGAATCACCAAAAACCCCAAATAGCCAAAGCTCTCCTGAAAAAAAAAAAGAAGGGAATGGAGGCATCACACTCCCAGACTTCAAACTATATTACAAAGCCATAATCATCAAAACTGCATGGTATTGGAACAAGAACAGACACACAGACCAATGGAATCGAATAGAAAATCCAGAAATAAACCCACAGATTTATGGTCAATTAATCTTTGACAAAGGAGCAAAGACTATGCATTGGAGCAAAGAAAGTTTGTTCAATAAATGGTGCTGGGAAAACTGGGTCGCTACATGCAAAAGAATGAAGCTTGACTACTATCTAACACCATGCCCAAAAACCAACTCAAAATGGATTAAAGAACTAGACATAAGACTTGAAACTATAAAATACATAGAAGGAAATATAGGCGAAACACTACGGGATATGCACATCAAAGACATCTTTACAGACATCACCCAAAGCAGTGATAGTGAAGACAAAGATAAACAGCTGGGAATACATCAAATTAAAGAGCTTCTGCACAGCAAAAGAGACAATAACAAAAACAAAGAGAAATCCCACCGACTGGGAGAACATTTTTGCACACAACACTAATGATAAAGGACTCATCACAAAAATCTACAAAGAGCTGATGAGACTCAACAAAAACAAAGAAAATAATCCAGTCAAAAAATGGGCAGAAGAGCTAAAAAGAAACTTCTCTGAAGAGGAAATGCAAATGGCCATGAGATACCATCTTACACCAGTGAGAATGGTGTAAGAGATACCATCTTACACCAGTGAGAATGGCACATATTAAAAAAACTAGCAACAACAAATGTTGGCGAGGTTGTGGAGAAAAAGGAACTCTCCTGCACTGTTGGTGGGGGTGCAAACTGGAGAGCTGTGTGGAGATTTCTGGATCTACTAAACATAGAGCTTCCATATGATCCAGCAATTCCACTCCTAGGTATTTACCCAAAGGACACAGAAACATCAATTCCAAAGAGCACCTGCACCCCTATGTTTATAGCAGCACTATTTACAATAGCTAAGCTATGGAAACAACCCAAATGCCCAAAAATAGATGGCTGGATCAAGAAGATGTGGTACATATACACCATGGAATATTACTCAGCATTCAAAAAAGTTAAACACATGCAATTTGCAGCAACATGGATGGAGCTGGAAGGGATCATGCTCAGCGAAATAAGCCAGAAAGAAAAAGAAAAATACCACATGGTCTCACTCATAGCAGGAATCTAGAAAACTTAAATAAGGGACCAGGAAAAAGAATAACTATAGGAAAGAAAATATCAAAATCAACAAACAACTATGAACCAGAGACACTCTATGGGGGGCGGGGGGTGGAGAAAGGAGGGCTTGGGGTCAAAATAAGGGGGTTGTTATTGTATGGGGAATATAAAAATAACATTTAAATAAATAAATAAATAAAAACTAACAACAACAAAAAAAGAAATCAGGTTATTCCATGTCCTGAATCAGATGAGAAACTTGTCCATTACTTACACATGTGAGAACTATTTTCGAGTGCCCACTGTGAACTAGGTGCCTCTCCAAGGC